CCCCCTCTCTTATTTCATCCCGAAGTTCATTACTGTCCTATCAGGATTGTGTCGCTCAACTTTGCAGATAGGATATTCTGTAAGGGTAAACTAGCAAATTTTCTTCATCTCCATGAGGAAAATTGCCTTTGGGTTCAAAGGGCTTAACTGAGAGAGAGAGAGAGAGAAAGACAGAGAGTTGGGAGTAAAAGGCAATTTCTAGTTATCATGTTAGATCTAGATAATATTTCTCTTGTATATTATCTAACGACGTGTACTGAATTTTTTTTTTTTTTTGTTAATTGAATTTTTTCTGTAATTTACTAGGAAAAAAAAAAAATTAGTAAAATATTCTCTAGACATTTAGCAGACAACACTCTAATGAAAGTCTGGTGATTCAATACAAATAATTTTGATTTATATTAGTTAGAATAATTAATTTAATGGAAAAAAGACAGATACTGCGTCAAATAGTAATTTTACTACTCTCTAAATCTGTATTAGTAAAAATGTTTACTAATTTGAATTTGTGACTCACTTTTTGCTTCTGAATTAGTAAAATTTTACTAATTACTAGTAACTTTTACTAAAAATTAGTAAAAAATTTTTTTTGACTCATTTTTTGTTTCTGAATTAGTAAAATTTTACTAATTTAGAAGCAAAAAGTTAGTCACTAATTCAAATTAGTAAACATTTTTACTAATTCAGATTTAGAGAGTATTTTTTTTATTATTACTATTTTTTGGTTATGTTGAAATAACTAAATCAACTATTTTTGACTATTTTTCAATTTTTTTCACACTGAAAATTATTTAATTTTTGTAGGTATACTAATAGTTCGTTTTTTTTTTTTTTTTACTAATTGCTAAAAGAAAAAATCTGTCTAGATTTTACAAAAATATTTATAAATACATTAAATTTTACTAACAATTACAGTTACTTTCAACTATAATTAAATTAGTTTTTATTATTTTTCTCCTATAGTTTTCTAGTAAGAATTAATTATTTTTTTTTACTAAAACCTAATTATTTTTTTTTTGACTAATTCCTGAAACAAAAGAAACAGCCAAGATTTTACTAATAATTCTAATTACTTTTAGCAAAAATTAGTAAAATTTGACTATCTCAGTTATTTTTTCACTGAAAATTAGTTACGTTTAGTACTAATAGTTATTTTTTACTAATTGCTGTAGTAAAAAATAAGCTAATAATTTTATTAACGATTATAGTTACTTTTAGCTAATTAAATTAGTCAAATTTGACCATTTTTTACCTTAGTTTTCTACTAAAAATTAGTTCTTATTTTCTACTAAAATTAATTATTAGTTTTTTTTTACTAAAATTAGTCATTATTTTTTTTTACTAAACTAAGTCATTATTTTTTACTAAAATTTAATTATTTTTTTTTACTAATTACTGAAGTAAGGAGTCAGGAAAAATTTTATTAACGATTAGTTTTGACTATTTTTTCAATTATTTTTCGTACTGAAAATTAGTTACTTTTTCTACTAATAATTGGTACTAATAATAATTTTTACCAATTGCTAAAACAAAAAAAAAACAGCTAATTGCTTAAGTAGCGAGAATTCAGACAAAATTTTTATTATCGATTATAGTTACTTTAACTAATTCAATTAGTTTTGACTATTTTTCTCAATTAATTACTTTTTGTACTCAAAAATTAGTTACTTTTTTTTTGCTAAAATTTTATCACGATAATCTGCAAATTTTTTTTCATTTTCGAAAGTATAACGGAATATTTATTTGACAATCACAAATGATAAAAATAAATGGGCCAGACGAAGAAATATAAAAAAAAAAAAATAATTTTTGCTCCTGATTGCAAAGTGAATTATGAGATGCACTTACTTACACCTTCATAAATAAATATTAAAAACAAAAAATATAAATTATGTATATATTTGTGTCGAATATATTGAGAAAAATGCGGGTCATTGTCTTTACCGTCATTTATGTTCACAAAGTAATCGTCATTGGACTTTAGATCGTTTGTCACTGTCATTTTTTTTTCTCTTTTTTCTTTCTTTCTTTCTTTCTTTTTTTTGTGAGAGAGACAGAGAGATTGTTGAAATACCTTCGTTGAGATCGTCGAGAAAATATGAAACGTGATGCAAGCGAGCAACAACTATAAAGAACATTCAGTATATGTCTTCCAAGTCATTTCTTATCCAAGTTCTTATTATTTCAAGTTTTGTTAGAGAGTACATGTCGTCGAGAAAAAAAAATGGTTTCTTATCTCAGAAAACACATTCAAAGTAGTCTGATTGCAGAAACTATATATTTTATCCAAATTTCCGGAATTCAGAAAATTTAAAAGCCTCATGTAGACGATTTTTTTTTTTTTGTTTTACAGAATGTTTAGATAACTTTTTTTTCTTCTTTTTTTTAACTTCGAATCTCGATAGATAATTCTTTTTTTTTGGATATTCTCGTGATATCAGAAAGGCATTATAATAAAATATTGACTTTTGCTATTTTTAACTAATCTTTACATTTTTGATGTGCGTCCCAAAATAGAAAATCGTCTGTCTGTCTATAGACGCAAAAAAAAAACTTGTTCGCAGAAGAAAATTAATTTATTTTATAATTTTCAACTTTGTTTAACTATTAATTTATTATTAAGCTTTGAGTACTAATTTTTTATAATTAAATTTTCATTACAAATTTTTTTATGAATACCAGAAAAATGCGAGACGTAGGTTTTTTTTGTTTTATAAAACGTGGAACAAAAAAAAAAAATTATAAAATACTATTGCGGGGGTGTTGCTTGAAAGCTGATTAGTTCTCACAATAGTTTCTCAGATAATAAATCACATTCCATCATTGTGACCTCATTGTTAAAATATCATGATCTCGACATTTGAGGTCAGAACTTACTTTTTATAATATATTATGTCCTTCGATGCCGACGGCCTATTTAACTGAAAAGAAAATATAGTTTTTATTCTATTTAATTTTTTTACTTTCCTAATTATTACAAGTTATTTATTACAAATAAAAAAAACTGTTTTAATGAAAAAATTGTTTTTTTTATTAAATATAGAATAAATAAATAGTTTTGTACATTTTCTTCAAAAGGGTTTATTTGAAACTAATTTATGTTTAAATTAAATAAAATACCTAATTAAAATAAATAAAAAAAAAAAAAATTAACTATCACGAAAAAAGCAATAAAACAAATTTTAAAAAATATTCTAAATGGCAAATTTATCAAGATTAGAATGAAAAAAAAAATATATATATATATATAACGTTTTAAAAATTGGTAACGTTTTTATGAAATGTCGAACAGTGTCTTAAATTCGATTTTTAGAATGAAGAAAAAAAAATAAATAATAAAAATAAACTCGCTGAAAATTGGTTTTAAAGTCGATGAAATTATTTGAGAAGGATCTAATATTCGAGAGGGAGGATTCAAATTTCAGTGCGAGAGAGCAGACGAGTTTCGAACCGAAACTACCGTACCAGCTAATTAGGACTTGATTGGACCCTCACCCCCCTCACTCCCCTTCTTCACTTCTTCTCCTCCGCAACATTCTTGAATCTCTTCCCTTTTTCCTCCCCCCCCCTTTCAAAGTATCTCTGTCCTTGTTCTCATCATAAAGTCCATTGGACTAAAAGGACCTCTCTCGCATATACATATATATACTCTCTGATTCTCATTGGCCATTGACGTTGACTACGTCGCTCGTCTCTGTAATTGTATAATTTACTCGTCAATTTGCTCTGCGGTTAATTTGTATAATTTTGCTATGCTGGTATACGTAAATTCGGTCGTGCAACTCGAGAGAGAGAGAGAGAGAGAGAGAGAGAGAGAGAGAGAGAGAGAGAGAAAGCCTCCTCGCATGTATAATGTTTCAAGACCTTGTGAGTAAAGAAAATGGCAAGAAAATGGCACGTTAACTACGCCCCAAGTAGTATGTACTTGCGAGAAAATGCTACAATTTTACTGCCTCGTATTTTCTTCTAAAAGTCTATTATTCATTCTTAACAACAAAAAAAGGTCGATCTAACTTATGGCCTTTAATGATGCATTCGATTTCATTTCTTCTATCTTCTCCTTTTTTTTTTCTCTAGCTTTCATTTATAATTATAACATGCAAACGTTCCCTCAGATGCTAATAACAGATAATAGTTTTTAGTCAAAATTGTTTTACCGACTGCTGATAAAACAAATTATATTGATTAAAATTCAATGATAATTCTTAGTCAAAACTATTTTATTGACTGCTGATAAAACAGATTAGTTAAAAATCGATGATATAATGCTTGGTTAAAAAAAACTGTTTTACCTACTGTCGATAAAACAGTTTTGACTGTTTTAAAACTGTTTTACCGAGTTTTAATAACATAGAGTTGACAATACACCGTAATTCCGCATCGACAAAACTATTATACCAACTGCTGGTAAAACTTATTTGAACGGTTTACATAAAAAAAAACTGTTTTACCGACTACTGATGAAACAGATTTGATGGTCTATATCAGAAAAACAAGATTTGCATAAAACTTTTTTACCGACTGCTGATGAAACAGATTTTATGGACTATATCGGTAAAACAGATTAGAACAGTTTACATAAAACTGTTTTACCGACTGCCAATAAAACAGTTTTGACTGTTTTACCAAGTTCTAATAATATAGAGTTGACAATACACAATAATTCAGCATCGACAAAACTATTATACCAACTGCTGGTAAAACTTATTTGAACGGTTTACATAAAAAAAACTGTTTTACCGACTACTGATGAAACAGATTTGATGGTCTATATCAGAAAAACAAGATTTGCATAAAACTTTTTTACCAACTGCTGATGAAACAGATTTTATGGACTATATCGGTAAAACAGATTAGAACAGTTTACATAAAACTGTTTTACCGACTGCCAATAAAACTGATTTCATAGACTACATCGGTAAAACAGATTTAAAATAATTTTTTAGTGTTTAATTAAAAAAAATTTAATCATTAATTGAATTATTTTTTTTTTGTTTCAGGTTCAACGCGGTGCGGATTTTTTTTTACATTATAGACGGGAGTGTTCGAACTTAGTGAAACGGTCGTTTAATACATATAAAATATATATTTTTTTTTATTCTCGTTGCGTATACGTGTCGTGTCGGATTTATATTAGTTTCGGGAGTGTTAATTCGTCATTTTTATATAATCGCGAAACGAAATTTAGGGTGTTTTTCAAAAATCCGTTTTCGTTGTTTGTCTTTCCGTTATAAAAAAAAGACAACTCGTTTCGCGCGCGTTCGAATTACAAATTTTAAAATCGCGATACGTCTTTATTCGCGAATATCAAGAAAAGTTTTTTTTTAACCTGGGAAGAGGGGGGGGTGGGAGGGACCAATTTGAAATCATTATGCCAGGGATTTCGCAAAAAGTCTTATTGAATGATGAATAATTTTTCATTTATAAAACCAATTTATGAAAAACTTATTCATCTCATCTGTAAAGTTTTTATTAGCGATAATATTCGGCCATGATTGTTATATGTAATGATCATATAATTTGTCACCTACTAATCACTGGATTGATTTGAGAAATATAATGTATCATGCATTTAACACCACGGTTTTAATATTTCCTTGTAGAGCTTTACACTGGTGGCTACATATTTGTAAGTAATGTAGCCATCGACCCGCTAGTGGGATAAGGCAAGGGCATACACATACCTAACTGCACATTCTTTGCGCAATTTATTTTTTTAATCTTATAAGTACACTTACACTCATTTTAAAAAAAATTTTGAAATATATTTTCCATATTAAAAATGTATATATAGGGTAAATGTACCAAATATGGCGCGATTCGAGTCAAAGCACCTTTGAAATATAGAATATTTAACATTTCATTTAAAGTCAATTTAAAACTTATTATAAACTAAAATTGCTATTTAGATATTAAAAAAAAATGTTAACTTTATAAAAATCGATTATTTAAACAAATATGAGAAATTAAAATTAACACCATAATTTTCTATTACGGTTTGTAAAAGTTTCGGTGTATCAATTACAGTAACCAAAAATTATGTGTATTTTGAAGACATACTTTGCTCACCGTAATTGAAGCCAATGTTTCAATTACGGCGAGGAAAGGAATTTTTATCTCAAATAAATTAATAATTGTTTAAATGTACATCTTTATTCGTAATTGTATAAAAAAAAAATTAAAATAATTTTTTTTGAATAATTTTGCAGTTTTATGAAATATATAATAGTAATAATAGTTATTTTTTTTTATGAACGCGCAGGAATTGGTGCACTTACCCTATAGATCATAGTGAATAAATTTTCAATAAAATTATAATATTTATATAAAAAAAATAAACCATCGGCAAATGCTTAGATTTAAAATATATATTTAAAACTAAAGAAGTTTATTAAAATACCAATTAGTTTAAAAAAAAATTTTTTTTTGAATTAGAATTATATATAATTATTTAATTTTTCTCCAAATAGTATAACGTATGACCACAATATTTTGACATATTTATTCTGGTTATATATTTTACTAGTTGGGTTTAAATATGTTTTTTAATAAATTAAATTAAAATTTTATTCTGTCTAGAACAAAAATTGTATTTTAATATTGAAAATATAAACTATTTAAATTATTTTAAAATAAAAACTCTTTTTTTTGTAATATCTCTTTTTTTCGTTTGAGTGTTTAAAAAAAAGTGTGCTTATTCCGATCAATAAAATGAATTTCAAAAGGTTTGCGGCATGTTTTGTTTTGTGAGCACTTTCTTGGCTACCTCTTTAATGGTAAATTTGAAGATAAGCTCATCTATTTGCGCTGGTCTTAAGATTTACCCTTGAAGTTGTTTTAGGGCTGAAGAAAGAAGAGGAGTAGCTGAGGACATACACCCCGTCATTAATATCGGTAAGTTCTTTTTATATTAATATTAATTAATATTAAATGATGTCAAAAAAAAAAAATATAAAAATAAATTAAATTTTAATACAAATTCTATACACTGAAAAAAAAATAGTATTGAATCAAGAAAACCTATGCACTTGAACGTATTTTATTTTATTTTCTTGATCCAAGAAAATTTACTTCAAAATAATAAAAATTTCTTGGAAAGAAAATATTGGTATAAAATACAGTCAAGTACATAGATTTTCTTGATTCAATACCATTTTTTTTTCAGTGTACAATTTTAAAGTTTGGATAAATTGCCCCTCATCTATAGAAGACTTTTGGCTAAAAGTAATTATAATTATTAGTTAAATAAATTTAATAGAAAAAAATACGTTAAATTTTACTAATTAAAAAGCGCGTCTGCTGTTTGCTTTACTGTATTTTTTTTTCTCTCTGAGCCTCTTTTCCCTCCGTCGGACATTTGGCACCAATCACAATTTCTCAAAAAAATCTCTCCAAAAATCACCGAAAAATTTCTTTAACATGGAAAATTTTGATAAAAAAAAACAACATTTTTCTCTTGAGAACTTTTTTAATATTTTGGTTTATAACTCTCATCTCAGCTTTTTTTTTTTTTTTCTTTGGTAGATGAATCGTGTACTAAAGAAGAAAAAAAAAACTGTCGAGCTTTATTAAAGCAAGTTTATTAAGTAAGAAAAATGTAATTTATAAAGTGAGTTTATTAATAATTTTTCTCCCCCTCATGAAAGTAATTTACAAATTTATTTAAGAAAAAAAAATTTTAACAAAAAATTTTAAAATTAATTAAAAATTGTGAAATATTAGGGAAAAATTAATATAAAATAAATTTTATTCGGCGTCTTTATATAATGTAAATGAATTCAACTCTTTGAAATTGTAATTTCTAAAGTCGAAGGAAGTTGAAGGACGCCAGAAATGACCTTCAAGTCATAAAACTCTAAGGCACGTTGCACACTATCCGATTTGTGTCGGACGACAAAAAGTCGGACGATTTTTTGTCGGACGAACGAGCTTTACACACTGTCCGATTTTTGTCGTACGACATTTGATCATCCTACGAAAACTTCAGGTATGCGAAGGAATTCTTTAAGGTATGATTTCAGTCGCACGTTAGCCAGAGTACTGTGTGCAGCAAAGTATTATTATAATTTGATATTTGCTTTTAAAAAATGAATATTAAAAATATAGTTGTCACAGCTTGTCTGCTACGTCGTAAAAATCGGAAACTACCTGAATCTATGAGCCTAATGATATTTTAATTATGGAGTTAACAAACATATCTTTTCTGAAAGCTGTTCAGTATCAGAGAGTATTTTACCCCTATGGTTTAGAAAAAAAAATTTAAATTATATATTGTTTAAAAAATTACTTTGTTTACACAAATTGTTATAAACAAATAAGAAACTTCAAATTTTTCTAATAGAGTCACGTAGAATTGGAAAAACTACCTGATTATATAAACATCGGACGAAAAATTGTCGGATAGTGTGCAAGCATCTATTGCTTTTCATAAGAGACTGCTTTGACGACATCATCCGACAGTCGGACGTTGTAGTCGATTCTTCCGGCAGCACAACGACATTTTGTCGGTCAGATTTTAAATCGGAAAGTGTGCAAAGCCCTATTTACTTCTTCAGTCCACTGAAAATTTTTTGTCGTCCGATTTTTTGCCGTCCGACACAAATCGGATAGTGTGCAACGAGCCTAAAGCTGTAAAAGGGTTGCGACGACGTTGGAAACTCGAACCCTTTTTTTTTTATTACTATATGACCTTCGAGGAGTAATTCTCAGGAACCAGGAAGCCAAAATTCGTTTTGTCAATAACCACCGACAACGTCTAGTGGTTCTGTTATATAGGAAAAAAAAAAAAATTTAAGTTAAGACAGATGTAAAACAGATATTTTTGCAAAACTTGTAGGAAGCTGTAAATCATTCTCGTCACACATATATATATATATATATATATATATATGTGTGTATTTTATTTTTATTCCTTTGAAAAGTGAGAAACCACCATTTGTGAAAACTCATAAAAAAAAGAAGAATTCTCCGCTTTTGAAAACAAAAATTTTCCACTCCAAAAAAAAAAATGTGACAAAAATTTTAGAATTTTTTCTAAATTTTTAATTTTAATTAATAATAATTATTATAATTGTTTGATACAAAATAAATATTTATCTGAAACAATGAAATATTTATTTGATAATAGTAACCGATTATTTGAATCAAATAAATTTTTTGGTTTCCAGTGTATTGAGAAAGAAAAAAATGTCTTATTAACTAAATTTAATTTCTAAAAGACGTTATAAATTTATCACAACATAAATTTCAAAACAGAAAATTCTTTTTTTTTTTATTATTAAAAATGGTTGAAAATTTTCTAAATTAATTTCAAGGTCTCTCGATTAGATCACCCCCCCCTTCAATATAACTAAAAGCAATGAATCCAATTATCTGTTAATCGAAGTAGATTATACCTTTTAAAACAAGACACAGTCAGCGCCGGCGGCTAAGAATATTTTGGCAATATGGCGTCTCGAGCGCCTTCTTCAGCGCGATGGCTGAAACAGGCTTTTGAGCTTAATTATAACCGCGCGCACGAAAGAGAAGACGGCATAAAAAAAAGAAGAGAACAAAAATAATCGTATATATATATATATATTACAAAACTTGAATCCCCTGGAATTAGAACAGGCTTTAGTCGAAATGAAATACTCGCACGAAACCCGCAAGGAAAACATATTTCTTTTGCCCCAAAGGAGATTGAGCAACCAAATATGTTTTACTAAATTACATCCATAACAAATATGTATATGTATATAGATGAGCGCACTCGACATTTTTATTCTTCTTATATAGTATTTAAATTTTTTTTTTTTTTTTGAAACAAGTATTGAGGGGGTTAATTAAACATCTCTTCTCTCTTGCCTTTCTAATTAGATCTTCTTATTACGTTCTTTCATTATTTAATTGGTTTTAGTAATTCTGGTTATATATTTAGTTCCTCCTTGTATAATTATCCTTGATATTTTTCCAACGACGACGACGAGAAAAAAAAGCGGAAATTTTAATGAAAAAGGCAAATGTACTGAATTACTTGTAGATTTTCTCCCTCGTAATTGCATCGTTTCCGAGTACATTTTTCGCTATATTCCGATAATTTCAAAAGATAATAATTTTTATATATTTATATATGTATTATACTCTAATTACTTTATTTTGTATTTATTTTATATTACTAAAAGCAAAAGATGCTCTATAATTTTTTTATACAGATAAGACAATGTCGTAAAGTAACTCATTAAATTATTTTTTTTCCAATATTTTATTTTTATTCTTTATTTTAACTTCAATCGGTTTTTGGTTGTAGTAAATAAAAAAAAATTCTGATTCAATGTTAAATTAATAAATAA